TCGTCGCCCTTGGGATCACAGGCACTCGTGGCAGGAATCGACCCCAACTCGTTTCAAAGAATTTGGTATCGATAGGCAACAAGAATATCCTTTCATCGCTATCCACGACTACTAATATAATATATCACCTAACGATCGATGGATTTAGGCTATAATAAATTAGAATGTATTACTCTCTCTTCCCCCATTTGTCTCGAGGTACTCTCTTCATACTACATTCTCAATGTTTTCTGTCCGTTTTATTTGTCTCTCCCTTCCCTCTCTCTCTCTCTCTCTCTCTCTCTCTCTCTCTCTCTCTCTCTCTCTCTCTCTCTCTATCGCATGATAAGCGAACTCTTCGATAGCTCGCGTCATAGACTTTTATCTCCGCATCTGTGTTTTGTGGTACGTTCACTCGGAACATCGGTTCTACTTCGTCTCGGAACTCGTTTTGGAATTAACCCCACCTGTTCCTAACCTCTCGAAAGCTCGAACACGTCTTAGTTCGGTCCTCTTCTCGACACGTTCAGGTTATTCTCGCCAGGCTCCTTCTGTACAGACCAGAAAGCACAATCATCCTGATACAGAAAACACGTCTTCTAATTCGTTCTCTGGCATAGTCGTCGCTGCTTCGTCGCGCTTGTTCTCGATCACCTTGATCGGCATTATCACGAGTTCTTCACAGGTTTCCGGCGTTGCTTCACCCGCGACAACGACGGCGTGCTGCCGTTCATCGCCGAGTACAGGGCCAGGCTCACCTCTTCCGGATGTCTCGACGCCACCTTGCGTATCTCCACGTTCTTCGTGCTTTGTACTTCCGACTCCAGTACCCACTCGTCTGGCTCGCTGATCCAACATTCAAAATCGACACTTTTCTCAGATTATTCTAGTTAACGAAACTGTACCTCGACTGACAGATTTCTACCATCTGTACTACTTACATGTCTGGAGGATGCCATCGTAACAGAACTTTAGTCTTTCCGTCCAACTCTACTCTTCGAGCTAATACCTAGAAACGGAAGCAATTGTTTCGATACAAACGGTACAAGATATACGTAGATCGATTTGAACGTTATTTTCCTCCGACTTACTTGACTAGTTAGGGCCATCGAATTTCCTGGAGTCTCCGCGAGACGTCCTTGCGTCCTCGACTTGGCCAGTTGGAGTAACCTGTGCTGGAGACCTTCCATCACTCCAGAATCGAAGTAGTCGAACAGTCTCGCTGAAACGACACGTTCGAGTATTCCGACAAAGGATAAAAGAATTTAATTAGAATTTAATAAACTAGAAGACACTCACCCGACCAAGGTTGTCGCCTATACCGTAGCCGTTTCCCGTTTCTTCTCACCAGCTTTCCACCGCTCTCGCAGCTTCGTCTCGCGTTATTGTTGCTGGTCTCCGGTTGATTAAAGTGCCCGTTCACGTGCCTTTCGAGCGCGGTCTGCAAATGAAATTTGCCCGGTTATCGAAACTGGAAGTCGAGCACTTTTCGGGGAAGTCGTGGCTCACCTACAGAGGAGGACGAATTGCCAATAGGAGATTGGGGAGGGCACATTCATCTTTCGAGAGGTCGTTGTTCGTAAAGAGCGGCGATTGCACAGGAACAAAGGGGCCAGTCGTAACGTGAAACAACCACGATGATTCGTTTCGATGTACAGCATTATGAGAGAGAGAGAGAGAGGGAGAATTCGAGCTCGGTATGACTAGCGAGTGTGATTGCGACGATCACACAAGAAGAAAGCAAATTCGTTGTAAAAGAGACTGATCCACTCAGAAATGTTCAGATTTTGCAAGCTTATGTTCTAGGAGACACAGAAACCAGGGAGTACGTTCCTATTTGCTTCGGGAAAATTTCGAACGGGAGATTGTTCGTGGAGCGATCGTTCTTTCCATTTGTCAGGGCAGAACGATCTTCGATGACAGATACATTACCGAACCTCAGCAACATCGGGTGTGCGAGAATACAAAGAAATATCCTCGCAACTGCGATATCTCGAACGTGTGCTCGTCGGATGCTTGATAAAACAGGAAAAACAAGATTCGTTAGTTTCTTACCACCGCCTGCGGACGCGTGACATAAGAAGACAGAAGAGGAGGTCCAGGGATTCCTTAGATATACGAACGAAAAGTGCCCGAAGAAGTTTCGAGAAGTTTCCCGTATCGGGAAACGATCGAATCGAAATGGTGTCGAGTTTGTGGCCAGCCACAACCAACGATCGTGGAGAGATATCGCTGATTCCTCGAGCCGGTCTTCAAATCAATGGAACACGAGCGAATGAATGAAAAGCGTACCACGTCGTTGTGGTAATAACACAAAAGCATTCACGTCACGGGGACAGATTTACAACGGTAAACCGACAGATCTTTTTTCGCAACGATTAGGCAGAGATGTGTGACGAGAACGGAACAAAGTGGAGGATTTCGGAGGATACGACGATTTTTTTAAACGCGTCCTCCATGTGTGTGAAGGAAACGGTTCGTTTCCATGGGTTGTCCACGGAAGAGAAAGACAGCGGTGGTCCTTCCAACGAAGCGGACCAACCAGTGGACACGACGCATTACCTGAGAGCTGAATCTGCTTCCGCAGCCGTCGACTATGCACCGGAACGGTTTGTTCCCGCCGTGGGACAACACGTGTCGTTCCAGCCATCTCCTCGAGCAGGAACTCCTCCCTTGCACCTTGCAACCTTGCCACTGACAGACAAAATTATCGCCGCCGGTTTGCGTGTTGATGTGCGCCGCCTGCAACACGCGAAATTCATCCATGGATAAATTAAAAAGCCAACAGGACGATGGTATATATACGTGACACACACGATGTTGCGACGAAACCGTATCCAACGGATACACGGTAGCCACGAACGTGTTGCAATATCGATTACGTGAACGAAAAAAGAAAAAAGGAGAGGCAGGCTTGGGGAAACAAAAAAAGGAACAACGTTGTTTCGTGCTACCAGAGCAGTTGTAACAATGTAACAGAAAACTGCGACACATGATACGCGAGAGCTTCGTTAATTCCGCTATACGGTCGAATTACGCGGACGGAACCGATCGATCCCGACAGAATCACTCCTGACACCGGCCTCTTTTTCCGATTGGAACGCGTCGCGATATAAGCTTCTCTCTGTCACGCACCTGTAAATGTTCCAGGAGCTCTCCGCTCGATTCGAAGCTCTCCTCGCACTTATCCCATCGGCAAACCCCGCTGTCCGTGCCGTGTTGCCTGTCCTTTTCTGGTTCACGAGCTGGGAATCTGATAGTGGTAGGCGCGGAGAGTATCGGCGACAAGGGCGGTTTCGATTCGCTACTCCTCGAGTCCTCCTCTTCTTCCTCCACGTCGTCCTCGTCCGCTGGGCTCACCTGGGTCTCCTTGGATTCGTCGGTGTCCTCCGGTACGGACAACCTCGACAGAGGATCTTGCTGGCCAGTTTGGGATCTCAGCGAGCCCAAGATGTTCCCGCAGCCGTTCGTCAGGTTGTTGTTGTTCTCGTTCACGTTGCGCTGTTTCGAAAGGATGCAGCCTTTGAAATCGAGGCCGGTAGCCGTCTCGTTGGTCAGAGTAGGTGCTGGCGTCGAGGGTGGCGAACTGTTCTTCGCGTTTGGACTCGCCTCCGATGTCAACCTACAGTTGCAACACAGATATGAGAATAGGACAATGGTTTCAACAGGTTCTTTCAGATACACCGTTGCTTTCCCTTTTGCTGTTAGGATCGTTGAGAGAAACAGACACACCGGCAAGGTGCTGAAATTTCATTCGCACTGTAGCTACGTTGAGAGATTCAATTGGGAGATAGACGTGAAATGTTGTCTATAGAGATTGGTAGCGTACCTGGAGAAAAAGTCTCGCAGTTCACGACTGTTACACTAGGCAAGAGGGTGGTTTATTCGGTACTTCGCAATGATCTGGACGAACAGAGGGTTAAACGTTGTTCTCCTGGCGTTTCGTTCGCGGATTTAGGCTTACCTTAGAGACGAGATCTTGCAGCTCGGTATGTTCTTGAGTACGTCGTTCGAGATAGGCAGGCTGGGCACCGATTTCGCCAATTTCTTGTCCATCTTACCGTTGGTCCTCGGTACGATCACCGGCGGTGGTTTCTTGGTGGGTGGCGGAGACATCGTCAGGGCTCTTACTTCCCAGTCGTTCGTCGTCGAGCTTGTCCTCCCGTTCGGCGACACCGTGCTCAGGTACTTGGCAAGTCCTCCCTTGTTCCTCTGCACGGTCGCTGGCCTCCGGAACTCCGACGTGCTCTTCGCGACTAGCACCGACATCGTCTCGCTGTTCTTCTTGATCTGTTACACGCGTACGATAATGTGCATTTTTTTCTTTTTTCATTACTTTTTAACCCTTTGCACTCGAGAGGCGACATTATTACATCTACAATTTGGTAAATAATTAAGCTGATGTTTTCCAGGACGGCAGGCCTGTGGACCTCTAGAAATCGTTCACCGTATGCTAGAGGTCTCAGCAGCGAGGTAGTTTCGAAGAACCAACTTCTAACGAAGCGTTACAAGGTCTTGTACAACAGAAACACATTATACGTTGAAGTAAGAAAGTTGAAAAAGAAAGGGCCTTCGAGTGCAAAGAGTTAACAGGTTGAATGCCGTGGGGGCGGTGCCGAAAGCGTTTAATTTGTGTAAATGGCAATATTTAAATAGATCTACTTGTAGCTGTTCACATATTATTTACGCGTATCGCGACGTGTTGTATTTAAATAAAAAATTCATTTCGGACAAGTTACGTAGAATTGGTCCTGCATTCGAGGTGTTGAACGCTAGTGAAATTCACGAAACGCTCGAACCGGATGGTTCGATTTTAGCAAAGTGTTTAGTATCGTTGATACTTCATTTTGCGGTTTCTAATCTTATCACCTGTTAAATATACGTGTTTTTCTGTATTAGGTTGGTGCATATGTTGACGGTCGCTAGGCTGGTTTCTTAAAAAAGTGACGCGCTTAATCAAAGTAACTCGTATCAACGAATTTAGACAAATAACGCGAAATAATTATTTCAAAGAAATTGAAGAAAAAAAAAACAAGATCAGTTAGAATATGCCAATTGTTTAAATACAGATTTAGGCTTAGAAGAAGACGAAATTAGCGATGAACAAGAAAGAATAATGTTTCGTTATTCGAAATACATAAAAATTATTAGTCGCTGATGTTTGTTACCGTGATCTTATTTCTCGGTTGGAAGATATCACGATGGATGTTTCCCTATTGGTTGTTTAGTTTTAGGTTAAACTACGTTGTTCGGTTTTTTTTAATATGTACACTCCGTACATGTTCTGCTTTCGGGCTTGCGAAAGCTACCTTTATACATGTTTTCGTAGCTGCTAATTCGGAAAAAGGGCCAATCAACGCCTTTCCTAGAAAAAGGCCTCTTTCGCGAACCCTTATTGGCAGGTAGATAGAAGCGATGCAAGTCAACGGTGGGGGTGATCGGTCGCGTGGTTCGTGTTGAGAACACGACAGCTGAATTAAGAAACCCTTTGAATGTTACTTTTATAGTGTCTTCATTTCGGAATAATTTATTCGCTAAAAAAATTGTCCAGTGGTCTGTTGGAGAAAGATCTAACGAATAGAGGAAAGATGTAGCAAAATTTCATATTCTTTATCGAAGATTCTTTTCGATAATTTTTCTTAACACGTTATCATTCTAAGCCCCGTTTGGTTCTTTGCTCATTTCCAACGAGAAAGTCGCCAACATAAGCAGTTTTTGCCGCAGTTTCTTCAAGTTTAAACTTATGTAAAAATATTACAGGCATATCTCGATTATTCATCGCGTCAGATAATAATGTCCAAACAATTGTGGTATCGCGCGGGTGGCCGAGAAAAAGGCACCTATTGTGCGATTACAGCGTTGGCTCAGGCGTGTTTAGACTAAGAGTTAAGTTTAAGATATAAGAGATCTATTTAGTTTCAAGAAACTGCGAGCGTGTGTTCGTGTGAACGCGAAGGGGAAAGTGTGTATTTTTCCTCGAGAAAATCAGTTTCCGAGGAACTGAACAATATCTGTGTATTATATTTATATTTGACAATTCAAGCGTGTCGACTCCCACGTTAATTACCAAATCCCACACAAGTGTATTATGCATTCTTTTGTTATTCAATACACGTGTAAATACTGCAGCGAATTCCTTCTTTGTAAAAATTTACGATCGGACAAAATTGAATACATTTCAGCTATTGAAAAAATATCTCATGTGCACCAACCTAATAGCTACAGCGCCTATTTAATCTTTGCGATCTATGCTGGAATGACCCATCGGTGGGTCATATTGGGAAACGAGAGCATTACTCTATGACCCATCGATGGGCCACGAAGGCAAGTAAGAGCATCACTTGATGATCCATAGGTGGGTCACCTAGGCAAATAAGGGCATAGATGACGGTCATCTAGAGAGGTTAAGGCCATCACTCGATGACCCACCGATGGGTCACCCAGGCAACTCAGATGACCCACGGTGGATCAGACGATCCTGAACACGTGAACCATTCGGAGAACGTGTGGAGACTTACTTTGGGCTGCTGAGGCTTGATCTGAGTCTTGAAGTACTCGGTGATCTTGCCCTGGGACTCGTGATGGTGATGGGCAGCGTTCGGCTTGCCTAGGGACTTGGTGGTTCCTCGGAAGGAGGGATCCGCGGCCCCGGACCTCGGGAGGGCGCCAGCCTCGGGCTCGCCCTTGAGCCTCTTGTAGGTCGAGCACGCGGTGGCCGCCAACGGCGGGGTCCAGGGCCACTGGGGCCTGGTACTGATCTGCGAGGACGGCGCCAGCTTGGGTAGGGACGGAAGTGGACTGGCGGGCGCGCCACGTATCGCTACCCCCTCGTCGCTGCTCGTACTGCACGGGGAACCCGGCTCCGTGATGTCGCTGGTACCGCTGCTACTGCACTCCCCGCACGACACGGCCACGCCACTAGAAAAGAAAAAAAAAACAATCGTTTCACTACTACCGTTAACCTCACCTTCAGCATTCTCCTCTCCTCAGACTACAAGATTTCCCTCGAGCAGGGTGCTAACGCTCGGGAGCGTTCGACGGTGGAAAGAAGTGGTTCAGAAATCTCAGTCGTGATGAAAGGAACCGGTCCAGGAGGACAGAAACAGCTACCAGGGAAATTGCACGCTTACCGAGTAATGGTATTACCAGCAGCGCAAACCTAATTACAGGGTCAGACATTGGCAATTGGCCCGGCACGGCGTTTCGGAAGGCCGCCAGTGCCACGAGCCAATCGCTCCTCTCGAACAACCCGGAGAAGAATTTATCGGCTCTCGAAACGTGTAACTTTCGCGGAATAACAGCCTTTTCCACGGTCCACTGTCATTAACACGTTCGCTAGCTGAATACAGAGCCTGTCACTCGATACACCGATCAGCGAACAGGAAGTCGAAGATCGGCCAAGTGTGCGATTGTAATTGCTCGCTGCTTATCGAGGCTGACGAGTTTCGTGCGAACCAGTAGGAAAATTCACACCTTCGACACCTTGCAAACACCGTTTGGCTGTACAATTTAGCGTTCCTCGCGCCACGGACGCGGAATTCTTCGCCAATCTAGCCGTTTGCGAGAAATATATTGCGAAACGTCAGGCAGACGAATAAGAAAGGAAAATCGAAAGGAGCGTTTCACGGAATAACGAACGCGAGCACACTCGTCGGCTGGAAGTGGCGCGTCGATGGAGCGCGGCGCGCGCGAATTCCTGATTAGCTCGCGAAACAGAAAACCTTCCCGGGTCGGTGCGTGCACCTGCGTTACGCGAACAGCTTATTGCGAAAGCAAATCGTATCGCATGCCAGGCTAGTTCGCGTTTCGCCGGGGAAAAAAAATTCCTCGTCTGGAATGAAGTTCGTTTGGAACGAGGATTGAATTTACGCGCTCGCGCACGCAACGCAACATCGTCGACCGCAACAGAGCAAATACTATTTCCATCAATCTCCGCTCTCTTTTTCTTGCTCCGTGCTACACCGTTTCCCTCCTTTGCTCGCCGATAAATCTACGCGGCCGCGACTTTGAACGATCTTGTTTTACAGCGGCAATTAATTTACCGCCAATCGACCGCCGATCGACCGCCTCCTCCCGTTTACGAGATAATTGCAAAGTATCCGTGGCCGAGGTTCCCTCTCTCTCTCTCTCTCTCTCTCTCTGGGAACCTGCTACACACCCACTGTGCGATATCGATCGCGAGAATGATAATCGATCGAACGTTACACGGTGGCTCGCGACCGATAATTGCATCGAGTCGAACGCGTGCGTGATGCGGCTGCTCGATACCACCAGCCAACCCTTTTCCCTGCTTTTTATTCATCCCGCGATAGTTCGAGTCTGTCGAGTCTGTCCCGTAAACTCCGTATTACAGAAAAAACCAAGGATCCTTTCCTCCATGGCACATACTCGCCAGCGGTACAACTTGGGTCATCTTGACTCCTCCGCACGATATAACTTCGAACGCTTCCAATCTCACGGTACGACAATTAAGATCGTACGGAGAACAGGAAGTTGGCTGGAAGATTGCCCCAGCGGTAGGTAAGGAAAGGTAACGACTAGAGCCGTCTGGTTCGCGTGATTTCGCGCGTCTCGTCGGTGACCAGTGACCGAGACGGCCGCGGCAGATAAAACGCGATACCAGAAAGTTTCATGGGGAAAACGTGGCGGAGAAGAGGGACAGAGAGAGAGAGAGAGAAGCAGGACGACGGCGGTGGATATTTTCGGAGGCGCGTCCGTGCCGGGCCGTCGACGTCACCGGAGAAAGAAAGACACTGACCTTTCCACATTACGATTCCTCTTTCCGACATTGCGTTTACGCAACGACGCGCTCTGCCGGCCAAGGACCGGAGGCCAGTCGGCAGAAACGGAGTCGCGCGGTCGTTCGTTAAACCCAGCCTGGCTGAATGACGGTCATTGTGCCGTGAAATTCCTCCTTTTATCGATTCGACGATCTCTCTCTCGGGCTCACGGGGACCCTCGCTTCGCATGGTCTCGATCCTACCTGGATAGGTTCTGTTGGGGGACTTGCTCTAACTCGGTTGCGTTGAAAACAATTTTTCTGCTTCCTATTATTGGGTGGAAAGTTTAAGGCTAGAATGCTGATTGGACGTGGTATGAATCGTGTTGAGAATGAAAGAAGAGTCTACAGCGTGAGAGTCGCGTTACACGTGCGATAGATTGTCAGATAGCTGCACCTCGCTGTGCAAATGAAACGTGTCCCTCGTGATCATCCGTGAACTGGAAGACTACTTCGAAAGCTACAACTTTCGATTTCGTAAAAGACAATAGCAGGGAGGGGGAGAGAAGTCAAATCGATTCGGTTGTCATTCCAGCAAGCCAAGTTTCCGTATCGCGTGCAACTGCGATCGAGAGATCTACGCGGCGATAGGATCGCGAGGCCAAGTTCTTGCTATAGGATCACGCTACGTCGATTATATTATCCTTGCAGGTGGCTCCTCCGCTCGGAGGTGTACCAAGGCTTCGACGATGCTCGCACACATCCGCAAGTTTCCATCCACTCCAACTCCAACCCGTGTTTCCCTCTCTCTCGCTTCTCTGCTCTCCTCTCTTATTTTCCCACACACCGTTTCGCTAACGCTTTCTCCCTTTTACGTGCACTATTCACCGGGACTCTTGTCCACTTTACCGCCACTGTCGCTCGTTTCCTACCCCCGTGCTTCCCTCTTCCTCTTGCTTTTCCGAAACATCTGTTCCCCACGGCCGAGATTCACGCGAGATCCCCAAGCCTGCGTCTACATTGTGCACACCGTACTATTCGTATTTTGCCAACCTTTCATTCTGAAAAGTCATGCGAAGGTTTGATCCAGATAGCCGACAAGCCTTTAATTTACAAACCCGCGAGGGAGAGAGAACATCGGTGCAACTTCTAGATCCATCTTTTGCACCTATATACAACCTAGCCTTCCTTATAGATTTTCAGAACAATGACGCTCATATTGCCTGACACAGTTTGCGCCAGCATTTCATTCCCGGAGAATCAAACTTCGAAATAGCAACCACGCAAGACAAAGCCTTTTGTACGCCTCTTTCGGCTCCGATTCCAGAGTAGGGAACTTTAGAATAGGAAAAGCGAAGCAATTCTTTCCACACACACTCCAATCGGACAATTCCGTTACACGTGGTTCTCTGATTGGCCCCTTATCATCAGCAACTTCTTCCAACCATTCGGTCATTCTTTCCAGGCCTGCGAGCATCCTCTTGTTTAGCTTTTCTCTCCAGTGTCGCGACCCTTCCCGCCTTCATCCTCCCCTTCGCTCCCTATTCGTCCCTCCGGCCCCGAAATTCTCTCCATCGTAGCTCCAGCAGGCCTCCTCGTCTCGCCTGGCCTCGTTAGAATTCCGCTCCGTGGACTCTTCCCCGTCCCTCCTCCTCGGGAAATCCATCCTTCTAATTCCTCCGCGTCCTTTGCTCTCTCCCTTTCTCGAGCCTTCCATCGCTCGCTCTCCGTTTTCCTCACGCTGCTGCTCACTCTCGCTAGACACTCTCTCTCTCCCTCCCGCCGTAGAAGCCTCTCTGTCCTCTTCGCGAGAACCCCACTCCTTCTCCCTTTCTCGCTTCCACCGTGCGTTTTCCTCCCTGTTCAGCTCGCTGCCCCGCGTTCCTCGCGTGTATACTTTCTCTCTCTCTTTCTCGTTCCCCTTCTTTATCAGCAGGCCGTGGGCTACGGAGCACAGGCTAGCGATGGGAATGATGCCCTCGCGCGCTCCATTCCCTTACCCATGACCATTCCAGTCACGAGTCTCTGGCATAGGTGGTTCGTATAATGAAATTAATAGGAATGTTTAAGACCGAAGGGAGTGGATACACCACTATGTATTTATCGCCGATAATCGAAGAACTTTTTGAATATATCCACTTCAGAATTATTGACTTGGAAGCGTGTTCGAACGTATACTATCGTAGAAAACGAGAAAAAATTCGAAGTGAATTTTGACCCAAAGGGGAATCGATCTCACGACCCTTCGGTTAGCAAGCCAGCACTCTACGCGCTACGCCAACGTGCCCTACATTATCGACGACAAATTTCAAAGCACAAAACTTCTTCGAGATTTAACCATTCAACAGATTCACCTATTTCCTTGCATATTCAGATACCTGTACTTTAAGAGTCACGGTAGCTTCTAAACTTCTTGCAAGCAGCACAGTAGGTATTACGCTATACATTCCTCGGGGGATAATGTATCATTCACGTTGAGAAACAAGAAGCGAGCGTTGAAAGATTAATCACGCGTTCCTCATGACCGTTTGATCGAAGGTTTCCACACCTTATTCGAATCGGTCCCATCGCTGAGCGCGTGTGCGCACGCACGCACACGTCGGGAAAATGGTATTCGTGCGAGTATCTCCTTCCTCGTCTCTGTCGGGGACTCGATGTCTCGTTCCTCGTCGAACGAACGGCGGCGGAAATGCATGCTCACCTAAATACCTCGAGTTATATTCACAACTATATTAGAACCGAGCATGCAGAGACAAGCAACGACACAGCCACCGCTCCGATCGAAAGCCTTTCCTCAACCCTTTTTTCCTTGCGATTTTTCTGTTCTTCTTTTTTTTTAACTGTATCTGGTGATCTGTGGTTTTATCAATTGAAACTGAAATCGGAATTACTGTGCATGCGTTCACGTGGGATTTAAATTACATTCCCTGGACAAAGCTAGCGTCACATATTAGTAAAAATATCCGTATCTACTTGTTATTCTTTGAGATTTTGAATTGAATGATTGTTTTTAGGATTTGACAAATTTTTTAATAACTTCTGAGAGTGAAATAATTTTATAGAGCTCGGCAAATTTGATTAAGAATGCAGCAGATTTCCGTCGGTTTCGAAAGATTTCGATAAATATTAGTAGAACAAAGTTTGTTTTAATAGAATTCTGCAGACTCCAGTAGATTTCACTAGACTTTAGTAGATTTCC